AAGAAATCAATCGTGACAAATTACAGAAGTCAGTGGTAAAAATGTCCATGTACTTTTATCAGCATCACTAAGCACCTTGCATTTTCCTCGTGTAGATAATAGCATGTTTAAAGTAGTCCTCTCTTATTTGTGGTTTCACTTTCTATAGTTTCAACTACCTGCAGTCAACCATGGTCTGAAAATTTTAAATGGAAAATTCCAGAAATGAACAGTTTATTAGTTTACATTTAGGATCTTGTTTCTAGCCTGTGGTTGCAGGCATAACCTGGCTTTAAATTATGCTCTGCTTTGCAGTTATTCTCTCAGTTCAGTGTCTAAAAAGTCTTTGCTTATTCATGATGGCTTGCTCTCAGTTTTGTTTCACTCCACAGACAATAAACTCCATTTCTAATGAACAAAACCATGGTTTTAGAACCTGAGATCTGTTGCAACTTGACAAGAGGAAAATTTTCTGAATTTCTCCTAGAGTTGGAATAAATGACAGTGGAATTTGATGAGTTTACTAAATTTCAGAAATTTGATAAGAGCAAAAAAAATTGGTCAGCTGTCATGAATTTATATTGTCTAGTCTTCTCTTAGATCCAGCATCATATTTCATTTGTTTTGCTACCGTTTATTATACTGCCATTAAAACATTTTTTTGACCAGGCGCAGTGGTTCGCGCTTGTAATCCCAGCACTTTGGGAGGCCGAGGCGGGCAGATCACCTGAGGTCAGGAGTTCGAGACCAGCCTGACCAACATAGAGAATCCCAGTCTCTACTGAAAATACAAAAATTAGCCGGGCGTAGTGGTGCATGCCTGTAATCCCAGCTACTCGGGAGGCTGAGGCAGGAGAATCACTTGAACCAAGGAAGCGGAGGTTGCAGTGAGCCTAGATCGTGCCACTCCACTACAGCCTGGGCAACAAGAGCAAAACTCCGTCTAAAAAAAAAAAAAAAAAAAAAAATTGTGACATAGATTTCATGGTAGAAAAAGGATGCATTGTCTTTTAAACTGGGCTCAAAAAAGTGACACATACTGGACGTACTAATGTTGAGGCCTCAAGCAACCCTCCCACCTTGGCCTCCCAAAGCACTGGGATTACAGGTGTGACCCACTGTGCCCAGCCCTATAATTTAAACTTCTTATAGGGTTCATCAATGAAGCAAAGAAGACAATTTTGAACAATAAATTAATTTAGTTTAAAAGGGCTTTGGACTTCTCTTTATATTTGTAAAGTATTTGAATATCCTGAATTACATAGATAAGTAGCTACAAATGATAATAGTTTATATTGGTTTATTTTACAACAATAAATAGATCTTTAGACTTTAGTTTTACAGAGATAGCAGGAATAACTTTATTTCTAGGACCACCGGAAAGTTAATTTAGCAGCATAAGTTAATAAATTAATTCCCTCATTGTCTTAAAATTTGGTATGTAAAACTATTGAACTTGAGTCTTATTTATTCAATTTTTTTTTTTTTAGATTCAGGGAGTGTATGTGCAGGTTTGTTACATGGGTATATTGTGTAATGGTGAGCTTTGGACTTGTAGTGTACCCATCACCTAAACAGTGAACACTGTACCCAATAGATAATTTTTTTATTTTTATTTTTTTTCTGAGATGGAGTTTCGCTCTTGTCACCCAAGCTGGAGTATGATAGCATGATCTTGGGCTGACTGCAATCTGTGCCTCCTGAGTTCAAGCAGTTCTCTTGCCTCAGCCTCCCAAGTAGCTGGGATTATAGGTACCCACAACCATACCCGGCTGATTTTTGTGTTTTTAGTAGAGACGGGGTTTTTCTTTGTTGGCCAGGCTGGTCTCTAACTCCTGACCCCAGGTGATCTGCCTGCCTCGGCCTCCATTAGTGCTTGGATTACAGGCATGAGCTACTGGCACGGCCCCCTAATAGGTAATTTTTAACCCTCACCCCCCTTCCACCCTCCCTCCTTTTGGAGTCCCCAGTTTTATTTATTTGTTTCCATTTGTGTGTCCATGTGTACCAATTGTTTGACTCCCACTAATAGGGTGAGAACATGCACTATTTGATTTTCTCTTTCTGAGTTATTTCACTTAGGATAATGGCCTTCAATTCTGTCCAAGTTCCTGCAAATGATATGATTTAATTCTTTTTTTATGGCTGGATAGTATTCCATGATGTGTATCTACTACATTTTCTTTATCCAGTCAACTATTGTTGGATACTTAGGTTGATTCCATGACTCTGCCATTGTGAATAGTGCTGCGATAAACATATGGGTGCAGGTATCTTTTTTCTGTAATGATTTCTTTTCCTTTGGGTAGATGCTCAGTAGTGGGATTGCTGGGTCCAATGGTCATTCTATTTTTAGTTCTTCACGAAATCTTCATACTGTTTTCCATAGAAGTGGTACTAATATACATTCCCACCGATGGTGTGTAAATGTTTCCTTTTGTCTACATCCATGCCAACATCTGTTGCTTATGACTTTTGTTTTGTTTTTTGAGACTGAATCTCACTCTGTTGCCCAGGCTGGAGTGCAGTGGTGTAATCTCAGTTCACTGCAACCTCTGCCTCCCGGGTTGAAGCAATTCTCCTGCCTCAGCCTCTGGAGTAGTTGGGATTACGGCGTGTGACACCATGCCTGGCTCTTTTTTTTTTTTTTTTCTTTTTGTATTTTTAGTAGAGGTGGGGTTTTGCCATGTTGCCCAGGCTGGTCTCCAACTCCTAGCCCCAAATGATCCACCTGCCTCAGCCTCCCAAAGTGCTGGGATTACAGGTGTAAGCCACCATGCCCGGCCTTGCTTTTTAATTATAGCCATTCTTGAGTGTTATTTTTTAATCTTAGCTTTAAGGTAGCTATTTAAAGAAAATCTAATCCAATGTTTATAGAATGTCAGAACGCTGCAGAAAATACCATTTGAAAACTACTAATCAGGCTGGGTTCAGTGGCTCATGTCTGTAATCCCAGTACTTTGGGAGGCCAAGGTGGAAAGATCGCTTGAGTTCAGGAGTTCAAGAGCAGCCTAGGCAACGTAGTGAGTCCCCATATCTAAAACATTAAAAAAAAAATAATGCCAGGCTTGATGGCATGTGCCTATATAGTTCAGCTACTCAGAAAGCTGAGGTGGGAAGATCACTTGAGCCCAGGAGGTTGAGGCTGAAGTGAGCCGTGATCATCGTGCTACTGCACTCCAGCCTGCATGATAGAGTAAGACCCTGTCTCAAAAAAAAAAAAAAAAAGAACAAAAGTACTAATCATGCTTTATATAACATATAACATTATCTCTGTAGAGTGAGAGTATACATTCCTTTTTTTTTTTTTTGAGACTGAGTTTCGCTCTTGTTGCCCAGGCTGGAGTTCAGTGGCACAATCTTGGCTCACTGCAACTTCTGCTTCCTGGGTTCAATCGATTCTCCTGCCTCAGCCTTCCTGAGTAGCTGGGATTACAGGCATGCACCACCACACTCGGCTAATTTTGTATTTTTAGACGAGACAGGGTTTCTCCATGCTGGTCAGGCTGGTCTCGAACTCTCGACCTCAGATGATCCTCCTGCCTCGGCCTCCCAAAGTACTGGGATTACAGGCGTAAGCCACCACGCCCAGCCTGAGAATATAGTTTCTAATCATACTCTTTATTTCAGGAAAATTGCCAAATGGAGAAAATGTGAAAATATTTCTTATAAAGGGTTAGATTAGTATGAGTAAATTCTCATTAAAAATATGTTGTGTTCTGGAATTTTCAGAAATTTTCTTTAAATATCACTTTTAATCAATATTACAAGTAGTTGCCACCACAAAATTTTTGACCTATAAGTAACTGAAGTAGTATTAGTTAGCCATTTTATGATTACATTTGCGTGTTTTCATTAGCTTGCCATTCTAACAGGTCCTCATTTTTGTCTAATTTGCAGTTCCGAATTGTAAACGTTGTCCTTCCACTCCCACTGTGAGGTAGCAAAGGAGAATGAGGACTTTTTTTTAATCCCCTGGCTTATTTAAAATTGGTCTAATATTTTTAGCCCTCCACTGAAGTGACTGCCGTCTCCTCTTTGAGGAAGAATCGTGGATCCTGATGTCAGAAAGGAACTCTGAAGATGCCCTAGTTTAGTTCTGTGCCTGTAGATGCATGGTTTTTATAAAGCTGTGCAAAGAGAAAACTTTTCCAAAACCACACACGTTTTGTGCCCCTTTAGAAAGTCAGATATTTAGAGGAACCCTGTGGCGAATCCTTTTTTGAGGCAAATGCTCCTTTGTGCATCTTGGTGCTTTAAAGAGCCATTGGAAATTTTCTGACAGCACCTGCCCCAACCCATGAGAGCTGCCAGTGCAGTGCTTTCCCCTCAAAGAGGATCCTCCTTTCCGCACAGCCAGTGGCCCCAGTACCCCTGAAGTCCAAAGTACCATAGTGGTGCCAGACATTCCTCTGTGGACTGGCAGATGTCTCAGGCTGGCACCCACCTTCCTATTAAATTCCACACAATATTTACAGGCTGTTTGACATCAAAATTAAATTGAGAAAATTAATATAAAATGAGAACATTATAATCCATGATCTCGCGTGTCCCTTCTAGCTAAAATGAGTCTAGGAAACAAGCATAGCATGAGCATCGCTTTTTTTTTCTGTGTGGAATACTTTCACATAATCTAGTAACTAAGGCTTACTAAGGTTAAGATTCCAAGTCCACTGCTCACTTGCATAACATTATAGAGCAAATAACATAATTACCCTAAACATCAATGTCCTGTGAGTAAAGTAGAATTAATGATGGTGTCTACCTCACAGGGTAGTTGTGAGCTCTGAATGCAATCTTATCAAGTATTAATTTAATATTAATATTAATTGAAATATGGTATGTAGTGTATACTAGGGACTTTAATAATTCTTAACTGTTTTTACCATTATTTCAAAATCCTGTTAATGCCTAGAGAAATACAACTTTGAAAAGTAAAAAAGAAGAGTAAATGTAAAGTAAGCAAAGAGGAATACAGCTTTTTAATGACCTTCTTCCCCTCCCTGCGTGCCCCTCTGCAGAATGTGATAAGTTGCGGCATGATGGCTACCGCAGTTCTCAGTACTACTCTCAGGGACCCACCTTTGCGGCCAATGCCAGCCCACTCTGTGATGAGTACCAAGACGAAGATGAAGAAGCAGATCAAAAGGTAAGCTTCAAAGTTCAACACGGGGTCCTGGGTTGGATTCCAGAACACAGAAAGGATATATGTAGACAAACTGGTAATATCAAAATCAAGCCTGTATTTTAATCAATAGTATTGTCTCAAGTGAATTTCTTGGTTTTGACAAATGTGCCATAATTATGTAAGAGAATAACATAAATGGAAACTGGGTAAAGGGTACACAGGAAACTCTCAATACTCTTTGCAGCTTTTCAGAAAATATAAAACTATCCTGATTTTTAAAAAGGTAAGATTAGAATCTAAAGAATTCATAAAGAGACATAAAATCAGTGTATTTGTGCATCTAAAATATTCTTTTTTGGTTAGAAAAATAAAGGGCTTTTTTCTCTTGTTTGATTTTTCATATGACCAAGAACTCATTTGTAAGACAAAGAAGAACTCTGATCATAATAGTAGAACCCACTGCTTTACAGTGGTCAGTGTTATTGATAGAGATAGAATAGAAGCAGTGCATTTACTTAATATTATTGCACTAGCCAATTCATTTAGTGATGCTATTTTACATTTGGGTTCCTTTTCCTCTGCCATCTCTGGTGATATGCACAAACCACTTAAGATAAGTAATTTTCTTAATACTAAATACTTATGAAAGAATAAAAATGTATGAAGATTTTGATTTATGTAGTTTTATTTTCATTTATTAAGTAATGTGGATTGACACTGGAATTATTACTTAAAATAAGATTTGATGAATAGTGTTTTGTTTCACAACCATTTTAATTAATTAAAAACTTTCAGTGGAATTAGGCCAATTTATAAATGCCTTATTGATTGAAGAACATTATTCGAAATTTATTGTCCTTTTCCTCAAATAGGTAACTTCAGGGAATAAAATAAGATAAGAATTGATCAAAACATGGGAAATTAAGCCAGGCATTGTGGCATGCATCTGTTATATCAACTACTTGGAAGGATGAGACAGGAGGATCCCTTGAGCCCGGGAATTTGAGTTGTGGTCACTCCATTGTACTCCAACCTGGGCAGCAAAACAAGACCCTGCCTCAGAAAGCAAAAGAGAAATTACTACCTTAAACTTTTGATCTTCAGATGATCTTAACCCAGATTTTTTCTTTAGATTCACTTTTTCTTTTTTTTTTTTTTTTGGTGAGACAGTCTTGCTTGCTCTGTCACCCAGGCTGGAGTGCAGTGATGCAGTCTTGGCTCACTGCAACCTCCACCTCCCAGGTTCAAGCAATTCTCGTGCCTCAGCCTGCAAGTAGATGGAATTACAGGTGCATGCCACCACGCTTGGCAGATTTTTGTATTTTCAGTAGATACAGGATTTCACCATATTGGCCAGGCTGGTCTTGAATTCCTGACTTCAAGTGATCTGCCCACCTCAGCCTCCCAAAGTGCTGGAATTACAGGCACGAGTCACTGCGCCTGGTCTACATTTTTAAATTAATGTTTTAAATTGACAAATCATAATTATATGCATTTATGGAGCACAATGTGATGATTTGATATAGATACACAACATGGAATGATTAAATCAGACTAGCGTATCTGTCACTGTGCTTACCTATTATTTTTTATGGCAAGACATGTGAAATTTGCGCTCTTTGTTATTTTGAAATATACAATTTATTATTAGAGATTGTAGTCATCCCACTGTGCAATAGATATAAAAACTTATTCCACCTGTCTGAAATGTTGTCCCCTTTGATCAACAACTTCCTATTCCTTCCCTTTCCACCTAGATTTTTATCACAGAATGTTTTTCCTAGTTCTTGAAAGGTATTTTCACATATTGGATTGCTCCTTTGAGCCTTTAAAATATACAAAGACAGTATCTTACTATAATGAGTAAAGCATTCATTTCAAAATTAATCTGAACTCTAATTTTGAAAATTTTCATTTTTCTCTTGTTGGCGTGAGGGGAAAATGAAAACCAGAAAGTGAATTATAGAGTGAGACTTTTGTTTATCCAGATATACATTAGCCTTATACTGATGCTCAGAGAAGAAGAAAAGTTTATAATGGGGCCCAGTGAGACAGATGCTTTCTGGGTGTATAGAGTCCACTAGCAAATTGGCATTGTCATGACAGCATCCTAAGATTTTTCTGGAGAATGGAAAAATCATTTCTAATTCTCACATAGCTCTTTGCTTACCATGACACTCAACTCTGAGGGAAGTTAGCCTCTGCACTAGTTTCTACTCCTCTGTACCATTGCCACAGACCCTGACAGCCAAACAGCCCTCTCCCAGATGTGTGTGAGAGTGTAGACAAATCACCCCCAAGAAAACAGGCTCCTATCCTGCTGAAAATGAGTGCAAAGAAAATGGTCATGTATAAGGGAATATATATAAAAGTCATCCTTTATATGATGTGATATGACATGACATCCCAGTAAACACAAATGTTTCCATAATAATTACCTTAGTGTGATTTGCTGACGCTGGCATCACTAGACCGGGAACGAGAAGTTGACGGTGGGACCCTTGACAAATCTCCTTGGGATCCACAGTGTCCTTCTTTTTGTGAAAGGGAGGAGGTAGGCAGTGGGAGGACCTGTCTGGTGTGTGTGGGAGGAGAGCTATTTTCCAACCCTCTCCAAGTTACAGTGTCTGCCTTCATGGCTTTCCTATATTTGGTCTCTTACAAAAGCACACAGCCACTTTCAAATCTTAGCTTTCTTTGCTGCTATAAATTTTTGTTACTTTTGTGATTTTTAAAAATCCAGGTTTGGTTAGGTGTGTTGGCTCACACCTGTAATCCCAGCACTGTAGGAGGCCAAGGTGACCAGATAGTTTGAGCTCAGGAATTCAAGACCAGCCTGGGCAATGTAGCAAGACCTTGTCTCTACAAAAAATAGAACAAAAACTAGCTGGGTGTGGTAGCACACCTGTAGTGCCAGCTCCTCGGGAGGCTAAGGTGGGAGGATTGCTTAAGCCCAGGAAGTCAAGGCTACAGTGAGACATGTTTGCACCACTGCACTCCAGCCTGGGCAACTGAGTGAGACCCTGTCTCAAAAAAGAAAAAAAAATCAGGTTATTACTTGTTCTTGGGTAAAAGTATTTTGAAATCCTTGGAATATATCATTAGAGATCTTTATGGGGAACTTGTATTTTTCCTTTTCTTAAATATGTAGAACCAAGTTGAAGTATATTAGAAAAATGTTCAATCATTAGATCTGAATGTCATCTCAAGGCAATCTCTGTAAGAAATTGGTTTCAGAATAAAATAAATATCAAATTATCTTATCAAATATATATTAGACATTATTATATACTAATTAAATATCAGCTAACAAATTATACTATCATAATAGCTAACTGCCTGCTTCCCCTTCCTGCCTCCCCCACTCCCTTCTTACATTCTTCTCTTGGAGCAACCTCACTGAGTTTTGTATTAACTTCACCATTTCTTGATTCTGTGCAGCATCAAAAAGACCACTTGCCACCCAACTATAACATATAGCCAATTCCACGATCTTGGAGCACATTTCCCATCCTTTTGCTTATTCATCATGGTTGGATTAATTGCAGCACTCTCTTTTTTGTGTTTGTTGTTGTTGTTTTGTTTTGTTTTTTGTTTTTGGGGCAGGGTCTCACTCTGTTGAGTCTGTTGCCCAGGCTGGAGTGCAATGGCACAGTCACAGTTCACTGTAGCCTCAAACTCCTGGGTTCAAGTGATCCTCCTGCCTCAGCCTCCCAAGTAGGTGAGACTCCAGGTATACATCCCCACGCCCAGCTAATTCTTGTATTTTTTTTGTAGAGATGGGGTTTTACCATGTTGCCCAGGCTGGTCTAGAACTCCTGGGCTCAAGCAATCTGCCCACTTTGGCCTCCCAAAGTTCTAGGCTTACAGGCGTGAGTCATCACACTCAGCCTTGTTCTTCTTAACTATATAAAGTTAACAAGTCTTAGTGCGCTGTCAGTGACAAAGATCCTGAAATTGGTATGGAAATTAAACACATAAGCCTTATGTTTTCTCTACCACTTCCTATAGGTCCCTCTCCATAACTCATGTGCGAATGTCTTCAGGTTGAAGTGAGGGTTTCATTTGTGTGCATCTGCATAGTATGTGATTGGCTGCTTAGTTGGCTTATTCATTCAACAGTAATTCCTTGAGTTATTTCTACTAAGTAAATATTTGCTCTGAGTCCAAATCTTTATTAATCTTCATGGCCCTTCCTGCCATTCACTAGGTCACTGTGATGCACGGATGCATCCAAGCTGTACAGCCAGCAGTGGTGGTCATTTAGGACCCAGAAACACTCCTCACAGCTCCGTAATGTGTTCTGAGAAAGAGCTCCTTCAAGCACAGAATTATAATTCCTTTGTAAAATAAGGACTTATTGATCACCTTCTATGTGCCAGAGACTATTCTAGGTGTTGGAGATGTAACAGTAAACCAAATGCAAGAAATCTCTGTCCTTAATGGAGCTTTGATTTCATGGGGAGGCACTAAGAGCAAATACAGTCATGCATTGTGGATACATGCTGAAAAATGCATTGTTAGGTGATTAGTCATTGTGCAAATATCATAAGGTGCACTTACCCAAACCTAGATGGTACAGCCTTCTACACACCTAGGCTAGATGGGATAACCCAGTGGCCCCCAGATTCTTTGTCAGCAGGGTCCAGTTTCATGGAAGACAATTTTTTCATGGCCCAGACGGGTGGGTGGGGCAGTTTTGGGATGAAACTGTTCCACCTCAGATCATCAGACACTGGTTGGATTCTCATAAGGAGGGTACAGCCTAGAGCCCTCACATGCACAGTTCACAACAGGGTTTGCGCTCCTATGAGAATCTAATGCTGCCACTGATCTGACAGGAGGCGGAGCTCAGGCAGTAATGCTTGCTCGCCTGCCGCTCACCTCCTGCTGTTCAGCCCAGTTCCTGACAGGCCACAGATGGGTACAGGCGCACGGCCTGGGGGCTAGGGACCCCCGGTGTATGGCCTATTGCTCCTAGGCTACAGCATGTTATTATACTGAATACTCTAGATAATTGT